TTATAATAAAGTTTTATAAAGGAAAATAAGTAGTTGGGTTACGACTCAGCCTTCTTACTACCACCCAAGTACCAACTTTACGTGACATTTTTGGCGATCCGTGCCAGGATCCATTCGCTTCAGTGTAAACGAAATCACGATTTCAGCGTACGCGCATCATTGAAGATCGAAGGATCAGCGGACCACTGCGAATCTTTGCTACTACAAAGCCCTGCAGCATTTTTCAACGTTCCACTGCGGTGAAACTAGACGAGAGGACTACGGTCAGCGCAGAGCAAGCCTACGAATAAGATTCGGAATCTAGAACCAACCAGAGAGCAAACATCCCAGAGACTCCTCAACGGCAATAGCTACTACACGGTAAGCTGGAAATCTGGATTCATTTTTACATTACCGTGTGAGAAAATCAATAAGCTCGATTAGAATCATGTCCACATCACGAAAAGACAAAATCGGAACTATTGATATCGCTTCTATAACCAGAGCTATGGATAAGTTGACTCGTGCCATACTCGAGCAAATCGAACTTCTTGCGCGACGTATAGAAGAAACGCAACGAGTAGCCGATAGTGAAAACAAAAAACGTGCAGCAGAGATAGAACTATTAGGAAAACATATCTCTAAAATAAATTTAGGACATGACGCTACTACTGAATTAGGCTCCTTTATTACGACGGACGAATCTAATGCCAGCAATGTTCAGAGAAAACGACCACCTGTAAAACCTAACGAAACGGACGATATGGACAGTGAAGAAGGAGCAGTAAGTTGTGACAACCCCACGTACAATGCAAAAACCTGCCTAGATTTTATCCCTATACTCAATGGACAAGACGATATAGGAGTAGAAGGGTTTATTAAACGGGTAAGAGAAGCTCGAGCCGAATGTCGAGAAAAACGCATATTATTACGACTAATTCTAACGCAAAGAATCATTGGAGAAGCGGAACGCAGTATTCGCCACACCGAAATCGAGAATTACGAGGACCTGTTTGAAAGCCTCAGAAAATTTGTATCCGTGAATATTACATCTAATGGAGCTCGTGATAAGTTGCAACGCACGCGACAAAACGTTAACGAATCGGTACACAGTTATGTGAAGAGATTCCGACACAACCTCAACGAACTGATATACGCGCTTCAACACGAAATTCGCGATCCAGTACGTCGAGCAGTCGCCATAGATCTTGAAACTGAACGAGCGACCAAAGTTTTTGTCCTAAATTTAAAACCCAAAATAGAAATACGCACATCGACTACAAGACCAAAGAATCTCCAAGAAGCGCAAGATGCAGCTTTCGAGGCGGAATTAGTCATAAGGGAAATCGAACGCAACAAAAAAATAAGCTGAATAATGAACCAACCAATTGAGAGAGCCAAAAACCGATTCCAAGGAACACCTAAACCAATGCCAGGAAACTTCCAGCAAGCTGAACGAACGCCACTTACCCAAAGAACTCAACTGAAATGTTTCAAATGCAACCAAATCGGACATGTCTTCAGTCAATGTAGAAATTTTCAAACACCCAGCCAACATCCGCGACAACGAAGTAACTATCAACGAAACCGGAAGAAATATTCATAAAGCATCTACGGACGCTAGACCCCAGGATTGTGAAACATCGCTTCGTCTGGAAAACAAGGACATCCATACCTACGGGAAGGACTAACTTGGACTACGGTCATCCTCGGCGACGAATTCTTAATCCACGAAACCAGAAGGCCTTTGGAACTGGAAGCATCTACGGAAGCTAACAAATCAAGGTAAACGCTGGATTCATTTTACATATAGAGGCAGACTATCTAGCTTTGAACAAGACTCAGACAAAGAGTTAGCGACATTTAAAACGATGTGGAAAGGTAAAGCATGCACTGGTAGGGACGAACAAAGTATTAAAATGACAAACCAACTACGGGAGCAAATCGCGCGATTGCGAAGAAGCATAGACCTTTTCCAACAAGCAAAAGAAGAGGGTCAACGCCTCGATAAGAAATCAAATTGCTACGAAAAACAATTGACGAAATCGAGTTAAGAAAACTGTTAAAGGAGACTATTAAAGAAGCTACTAGTCGGAATTATCAGGGTAGTTTAGTTTCTAATAATTTGAACAAAAGCTTGGAGAAAACAGACGTTACTGTAGGAAATGAAGAAATGGTTTTGAAAGAATTTTCAAAAGAATTGCAGTCTAATGTAGAAGATTCTTATGAAAAGAAAGTATCAATTGACACCGCTTCACAGGATTATATTTTCATTAAAACAGACTTAATGTTTGATGTCAATAGCTCGACAGAATACCAGAAAGAGTCTGTGAAACGAAGGAAAGAAGATATTGCAGCATTGTATAATGACTTGTCACCATCCTCGTCACAAGATACTCAAAATTTACAAGAATGGTTTGACAAAAAAAG